TGAGGATCGATGCCGTGTCAAAATTGCTCCGCGCGGCGCCCATCGAGATGGGCTGTGAGATTGCCGAGAACCCAGAGATGGAAGGTGCTCCGGATCTAAGCCCGCTGGACTGAGCTGACATGGGCCGTCGCTCCGGGAACAAGGCGTTGACGAGGGTGACTAGATCTGCCGGACTCACCACGAGATAAGGATGAACCTCGACTGTTTCTCGAAGTGATGTGATTGAGCGGGCCGGAAGGAGCTTCGCTGGAGGTCTCTGGGAACGGTTTCGTTTGAAACGATTCAGGATGCTCTCCACGTGTCCTTGAATCTTGGGCGGGGTTGAGACCGTTCCCTTCTTGTTCCAGGTCACCTCGACTACAAGCTGCTGTGCTCGCATGGCGACCTGCTTGAGGATCTTCTGCCGGCCATACTCGGTGATGTGGTAATCGCCCATGAGTCCGTGGCTTTCCGGGTGGATGACAACACCAAGGAGGAAAACAGAGAAGAGCCACTTGTAAACAAACCAATTTCGGGTACCATCGACGAGCTTGGAGTCAAGCTTCTTCAAGATGGCATTGCCTAGCTCGATGAGGCCTTCCGGGATGCCAGTCGCATCCTCGTCGTCAATGATCTCAAAAAGCTCGTTAACGGCCCGATCGTAGAACTCCTCAGCCGCAATGCTGTCCTTGGCCGTCCAGTCCGCGAGATTGAACCTGGTACCGTGTTGGTCCTCGGCCTTGTCCAAAAGAAAGGCACCATCCTCGAGTATTTTCATCAGGTACCATTCCATGTTCGACTTCCCGGACCAATCCCGCATGGCCGTCCAGACATTAAGAACAGAAATAAGCATGGGCTCGCTGCTGGCCTTGGATTCAGTGATAAGTCTTGCTAGAGCTGTGCCCCATATCTCGGTTCGACGTCGATCCTCGGCGCTATCAGGACCAGCCGAGTTGGCGAAGCATGTGTGAACCAGGGCGGACAAGGGATCGTGTCGTTGGAACGACAGCAAACGCTCGATGGCGTTGGGGGAATGGGCGGGCGCTCGACTACTTGGTCCACCAGCATGACTCCTGGCTGTAGAACGGCCGTGGTAGGGCAGCACGGATTCTACAGGTTCCAGTCCCTGATGGAAGCCGGTAAAGACATTGAGTTCTGTAGGGGTTAGAGAACATAATCTTGTGGCCAAGTAGTCTGGGTTGGTCCTGATCTGGTTCAGAAAGTTAAGAAAGATTTCCCGGACAGAGGCGGGCAACTCGGAAAGAAAGGGGGTCATGGATCCGAGAGAACTAGAGCCCGAGGTCGATTTTGGTGGCGTGTCCAGGCTTTCTGAGGAGGCCAAGGCAGGGGACTGGAGAGAGTCCATCTCGGGTTCCAACAGGGCATAGCGGCGCAGTTCATCGCAGCTCTTACGCACATCGTGAATGGCGTTGAACAGAGAAGCAAAGGTCTTCTTGTCATCGGAGCGAAAGCAGTCAACCAAATTCTTCCGGGCAATCTCACCGCAGCGGTTCAGACGAGCTGACAAGGCCGTGGAGATGAGGTTCCTCTGCAGACGTATGCGTGTGTTTGCGCGCTTGCGCTCCTGGTACTTGGACAGTCTAACCAAGTGGGCGAGCTCCTCCAGGGTCGTTGTATCAGGTTCGGGCGCAAGATGAGGGTTCGTGTACATGGATGGATCTGGGAGCAGAGCCTGGGGGAGCGCAGGCGAAGAGGCCGTTGCCGCGGTGGAGGCGAGTGCCGTATCGGATGAAGAATCCATGGTGGCTTTTACGGGAGAGGTGGCAATGGGTGTTGACGCTTGGGCAATCACGGGCTTCTGGTGCGACCGAGAGGCGGGTCTCCTCGGTGTGTCTTCGCTACGACGAACGGGCAGGGTTACGGCCTCAACGCTTCGGGTTGGGCTTGGAGACCTCTGGCGGCGGGATCTGAAGGACGTATTGTACGTTTCGGAAGGAGGATTCGAGGATCGGGGCTGGTTCGCGTCATCTTGAGAGGCAGCTGAGGCGCAGAAGAACATGAACAGTCAGTACCTTTCAGGTAGGGTGGGAAGCGGGAGGCTACGATAGAACAGAGCGCTTTGTGGGCGATGTTCAGGGTGTTTGTTGGTGGAACATACGGGCAGAGACTACGCGAACTGGCGAGGATAGGGAACGCTGCATGGAAATCATAATGCGAACATGAGGATTCCGGTCGAAGGGCGAGCGGGCAGCTTCAGCAACAGCTCTCGAACAAGCTGATAGCTGTTCTGTCGCAATCGCGTGATGTCGTCGATTGTGCGCTGTTGATGATGGGCGCAAGCGGGTGGGTACGGTATCTGCTGGAGCGGGGCAGACTCAGCGATAAAAGACGGCGGAGGCAGAGGGGGAAGGAGAGAAGAGGTCGGCGCAATGCCAGTGCCTCGAGAGGTGAGGTAGATGTCGTCGTGTAGAGGTTGAGTGTTCACTACCTTTTCCGATATGTTTACATGGAAAGGAAATTCTATTGTCAAAGAAGAGGAAATGAAAACAAATCAGAAACCCAAGCAAGGCGAAGGCCATGGGAGGTTTGGACGTGGTTTAAGGTAAGGTAAATGCGGGAGGAAGGGACGGAACAAGAAAGGAAGGCAAGGGTCGCAAGGCGAGGAAGGCACAGCAAGGCAAGGAAGGCAAGACCAGGCACGACACGAGGGTGGGCTGGTCGGGTCAGGTACGTACTGTAAGGTACCTCACCTCACCTCATCTGCCATCTGCCAACAGCCTCCCACGCCTCCCAGTCGCCAGGTTTCTCCTTCCACCTCCCATCCTACCTTAGAGATACCTGGATACATCATGTACCTTGGTACCTATACCTAAGAAGGCATCTGTGTACAACCACATGTAAGGTGTCTTGATGCGGAAGACAATACGGTAGAGAAGAGGACAGCAAGACTTCCATAATCGTGGACTTGTTGCAAGTTGCATGCTGTTGCTCCTCAGTTGCTTGGGTATCGGTACTTCTCACGCTGACCGGGGTTAGAGAAGGAGACAGAGAGAGAGAGAGAGAGAGAGACAGCTGCAAGTAACAGACACTGGAGCTGGGCGTGGGTGAGCCCTGAGGTGCCGGCAGGGAGACTCCACGTCCACGGCCACGACCGACTCACTGGACCGACCCATAGCCATACTCGGTACGGTACGGGTACCCAAATAGCCAAACAACAGGCCGGGAGGAAGATGGAAGCTATGAGCTGGAAGACAGGGGTGGGACGCTGGGGCCGGAGACAGGACCGACAGGATAGCCAGCGAGCGGCCAACGGCCAGCGGCTAGGAACCCAAGAAAGACTTTGATTGGGTTTGGTGCGTGAGACCTATGCGATGCGTCCAGTCCCGTCTCTTCAACGTAGAGGCAATGCGTGGCAAGAGAAACGGAGCAAGGTAGACCCAAGGTGCAAAGTTGTGCCCCAGTTGCTGGTTCCCTGTATCCGTAGCTGCGAACCGCTGGATGATCCTCCCAGCAGCAAAACAGAAAAAAAAAGGAGGGGGCGAACTGCTGACAAGGATGGCCACACTCGCACATGGCAGCTTTCTCTCACTCCATCACACACACACACAAAAACACAACACACATGCACACACACATACACACACACGCACCGCAAGTATTGAAGTCAGATGATGACTTATATGCGTCGAGTATGTCTATCAGCACTCATAGGCTCGCGTCCTCGGTTCCTTCGGAGCAGTGGGTTTACCTAAGACACACGTTCCTGTCCTGACCTGACCCGCTGCCTTTGCCCAAGTACCGTCCATCTACCTCCCGTCGTTCTTTCCATGAACATTCGTTACATCAGGTACTTCAGGTAGAAAGTGTCGAGGCGGGCAAGCGTGGGGTAAAAGGCTGGAGGGGAAAAGAAGGAAGGAAGGAAACACGGAGGAGGGATGGAACTAAACCAAACAAAGCTAGAAGGAACGGACGGGGCACGCCTCTCCCACCTGCCACCTCACACAAAATGCAAATGCGATCCATGAAAGTGGGAAAGAGGCACCAGCTTCAATCAGTCTATCAGAGAAGGTGCAGGTGGGACAATCAAAAGGGTCTAAACATTGGACGAAAAAGACGTTGCCCGCCAACGCACACCCAAACACACCCCCCGTCCCAGTCACCCAGTCTTAACTTACTGTCTAGCACCTGGCTGCTTGGATGAAGCCATCCCCGTTGTCGTTTCCGCCGCCACTCTTATTACTGTACACAGTCATGAGTACGCTATTACCAAGTATCACTCGTTGCCATTGTTTTTGTTTCTTCTCATTGCCACGCGAACCACATCCAATAAAAGCAACAGGCCGGTGCCTACCTACGAGTCTAGGACCACCTAGCCATCTAGTCCGATATCCTCAGCTCCGGCGGATACTGCCAGGAATACCAATAAAAGTCCCTAGATCCAGCTGGAGCTCAAGATTCAAACCAGGACCGGGATCGCCAGACCAACAAAGATAGCCAACCACGGCCACTGCACGCCATTGCTTCTGATTGACTTTAGCATCGTCATCTCCCCCTGCTCCAGCTCCAACTAGTCACTCGCTACGTCGAGGTTTCCAACACCTCGGGAGAAGCTTCTTCTGGCCGGGCAACGTTGGCAACCCTCGCTCTTGAGGGCTGCGATGTTTCCTACACAGGCACAGGTTCGCGACACTGCGCATGCGAACACGCACACGCACGCACAACAAGACCAGACCCGATCGAGTCAATGTTCGCTCGCCTTATTGCCTGTTCCACGACACGAGCCGCCGCCCTCGTGCGTCGTTGCTCGGCGTACCACGTCGGACACAGCTGTCACTTGAAGAATACGTACTGCGCAATCATTCGCCCGCGATACCGAGCATGCATCGAGCATTGCCCTGCAGCAGTGCAGAGAACACCGCCGCCCGCCGCCGGACACTTGCCGCCGACTTTTACTTCTTGCCCACCGAGAGACCTTTGTTGCGGCATATCTGTCCCGTCAGCGACGGTCAACCCAAGAAGAGAAGCGGTCTGCAACATGAGTCCCGTTACAGCGACTGACCATGCCATGCCGTCCACCTCATCAGCGTCTCTCGTGTCGCCCCAACAAAAGTCGGACAAATCACTACGCACACCGACGGGCCAGTCAACGCAGCGACAGCGACAGCGACAGCGGCACAAGCAAGCAAGCACCGGGGAGGGGCAAGCAGAGTGAAAGCAATAAAACAACTCGGGAGAAAAAAGAAGTCACCTCTGCTTCCGGCCGCCTTGATGAGTTGGCATGCATAGCCTTTGGTCCTGTTGTTTTACATGCTCCAGTACACCAACAGAGAGAGGCCCATTTTCGACTACCTCACGGCTTGCCCGCCGCTCGAGACACTGCCGTACAGCGCAGCGCCCCCCTGCTCACCCGCCGTCCAATCTGCATCGTCCACGAAAGCGGGCACGCCATGCCAACGCATCACAGGGCCCCAATCGGCCACCCCTTGACCAACCCAGCGAGCTTCAACCAGCATCAACCCACACCGTCTGCTACACCACATCCTTCTCCAATCTCCATCAACAATTCCCGTTTCCAGGGGGCCAATCGTCGACTACCAGACTGAGTCCTTCCTGCCACTCTCCTGCAGCAGCTTTTGAGGTACCGCCAGCCCCAGCCGTTGTCCTCAAACCTGTCCAGACAAGGTCGGCAGACCGTCCCCCGAATGCCACCCGAATTCCACACCGCAAAACGGTCAGCTCATCTACCCGCGCGCCGGATGGGTTGCATTCTAGCTCTCTAACCACATCATTCGTTGCACTCGCTGCATCGTGTACAACTTGCTCGTACCCATTCAGCGCCGCACGAAAACCTTCACGATCTTGTGTTCGTCCACTACCAGCAAGTAGCCGCCTTCATTCTCACCGTACGAGGTGTCAACTACCACTGCTGGTCTATTCGGTGTTGGTTTGACAAAAAGTACATCCTGTAGTCCTTCGAGGCTGTCGCGCTGAAATCTATATCGCCTTGCCCAAACCAAGTTCGCCAGCTTCGCATACGAGGTGCACCTCGACAACAAGTCGGGGGCACTCATTCCAAAAATCAGGCACTTTGTGCCATCCACAATGACCAGAGCGGGATTTTGGGCCTCTAAATTGGCCTCTACCGCGTAGCTGGGTAGATCCAGCCACTCTGCGCCGCCAGGCTGGTATCACGTTGATCCCGTACCACTGCCGCCTGCCAACCCCTCGATGCCACCATCGATGGTACCAAAATACCTCTCCATCCCGGTTCTGGCCGCCCACAGATCGCTCATCCCCATGCACGTCAGATTCGCCAGTCAACCAGTCTTATTCGTCTCAACCTCAGACCCCCATTCGCTCCGCTGACCCCATGTCCACCTTGCATCCCGCCTCCCGCCCGCCTATTGAGCCCCAGCCGTCATCGGTCCCTGCGACTCAGGCGCTGCGTCTCTGTTGCCTTTCCGGCTTGTATTTCGTCCTCCTGGTGAGGCCAGGCGGTCTTCTTCTGTGATAAGCTGTGCGTATCATGCCTTTGAACTGGGCCTAGCAGAGATGGAGGACGATAAACGGTGAGTACTTGACCCGAAAAGATCCGGCTGGACGGATAATACAACGTAGTTCTTGTGTGGGAGCAACCAGGTATTTGCCCAGGCCAGGTTGTATCAACACGTGGTAGATATCACGCTCGGAAAGCTATTCAACCAGCGCGCCGGTGACAACAAACATGTTGGACCCATCAGCCAACGCTCGACCTTTGGTCCTTGGAGGCAATCCTGCCGGATTCCCATTAATGCCGTCTGCTAATGGGCCACTGGGATTAGGGCTGCATATGCCATCGTGGCTTAATCTGCGCTCCCGACACTAGTGCGCAGGCATGAGCCCAGTTGACGGCCCCGTTGTCAGCATGCTGTGTGACTGTTTGTTGTCATTTCCGTATAAGACGTCTGGCCGCTTGGCCGCCTTGTGGCCACTTCCGGTGTTATTTGGGCTCTTCTAAGCTATGGCCATAGTGCCCAGCTGAAGCCTGACAGCTTCTTTCACCCCTCGGTGGCCATTCTTCTTCTCCCTTGGCGTGATATTGCCAAGTCACTGGTTTATGAGAGAGATCCTCGTGTATTTCCTTAGACGTCTGACTGCTTCTTGCGCATAAAATGATGTTGAAGCTCACTATCTTTCGCTGAACATGGAAAGGCGTCGTTCATTGTGTCCCGTCATTCTTCTCGTACTTTCGGACGCGTGAACATGAGAACATAGACACGATGTATGTATGTAGGTATGAGAATACGAAATTGAGGGCAAGATCCTTTATGTGACAAGCTTCCTTGGTACACAAGCTGGCTGTAATAGCACTCCTTCTTGTGAGTATCTCCAGCGTGTTCTTTCTTGTGACCTCACATGTCTGTTTAGCAAGCTAGAGGGTGTTTCTAGACCAGGAGACCAGCCAGTCACGCTACTTGACTAAGCGAGAAGTGCGTATGGATCAACTAGGAGGCTTCATTTGCAGCCTCCCCATTGCTTTTGGCGGTGAATACATCCCGGTGAGCCTTTGGGCGCTGCAGGATTTGAAAGTTCCTAATGTGTTTATGTTCTAGAGGTACTGACATCCAGGAAGACTGCATGTGTTCATAGCTGCTGCCATTTCAGTGTAAAAATTTGGCATTTTTCGATGATTTTGAGTATACAAGTTGATTGAGTATACAATCTTCCTAGTTGCGCCAGAATATTAGGCTCAGGTGTATTTTTTCGGTACAGAAAGTCTGGAAATATCTCTTCGTAGCGAGCACGATAATTCTGGACATCTCCTCAGACGAAAGTAAACTTTTGCCCGGACTCGGCGGTCTAGGTTCACAGTCTTTTTTTGCGGTATTCAAAAAGATTACTGGTGGACGAAAAATATCTTTTGATTGCGTATCCTTTTCCAGTCTCGTACAAAAGGTGGTTAAAAACAAATTTCATGAACTATTTTGTTTTACTCTTTTGATTTCACTAAATCGGGCAGCACTCCCCAAGCACTGACGAGAGGCAAAGAGAGAAAGGGACTCGAGCCTCCTAGTAGATAGTCGCTTGATGAATAAGACTACCTTACGTCAGGACAAGGGTAACACGAGGGGGGCCTTTGGTAGCACGCTGGGGCTATCGACCGAATGCCGGAGCCGAGACCGGCTGCGGGGCCGCGTCTGAGCATCAACCGCCGGCCCGGAGTTCCGTGCAATGTCACGTCCTCATACCGTCAAAGTCAGTCCGTCTCTCCCATGAAACTCATGAATAGAGCAGCAATTGTGAAACGTGGTAAAGCTTCACAAATACCTTAGTATGCAAACGCATCGCTTCAGAGTGGGAATTGAGTGCTTTTGCGCAAGTTGTAACGAAACACATCAGCGCCCATCAGTGGAACCCGTCGGCCGGTCATGGATGGGTGCTGAGAGGCCGTAGAGGTGCGCAAAATATGAACCCTTCTCTTGCCCCGCGCCGGATGCCGGTCGCTCGGCCGGAATCTATTCCTCCGAGGCGCCCTTCCGAGTACATCAGCAACCCCAAGTCTCTCGAAAAACCCATTCTTGGAAAGACAAGCTGATTCGGACTTTTTGTGAGATAGTTCACCATCAGCCAGGCTTTCGTTTCCCAAAAACCACACTTACGCAAACAAACACAAATGACCTGCACCACGTCCCCCAAAGGCGCGATGCTCTCGCCCCGCGCCGCCAAAACCGCCTCGGCCCTCCATCGGCCGTGGCGCTTCGCCCCCGTCCAGACCTACTCGGCCTCCACCAATCCCTCGGGCCTCATCTCCTTCGGCAGCGCAAGCAACGCCCTCATGCAGCCCGCCGTCGCCGCCTTCGCCGCCACGGTCCCGCTCCCGCCCGACGTCTTCGGGTACGGCTACAGCACCGCCGGCGGCGCCCGTCTCCGCGCCGCGATGGCGGGGCATTTGAATGCCACGTTCAGTCCCCATGCGCCGCTGAACATGGAGCATGTGAGGGTCGCGGCGGGGGCGACGGCCGTGCAGTGTATTCTCGCGTTTGCGCTTGCGTCGCCTGGTGAGGGTGTGTTGGTGCCGAGGCCGGTGTATGGGCGGTTCGAGCTCGATTTCGGGAACGAGATGGGGGTGGAGGTCGTGTATGCCGATACCACGCCCGAGACGTGTTTCCTGCCGGACGTGGTGATTGAGGAGATGGAGGCTGCGGTGCGGAGAGAGATGGGGAAGGGGGTAAGGGTTAGGGCGGTGATGATTGTGAATCCGAGTAATCCGCTGGGACGGTGTTACCCCCGCGAGACGCTTGTGGCGATTATGCGGTTTTGTGGGAGGCACAAGATTCATCTTGTCAGTGATGAGGTGTATGGGCTTTCCGTGTTTAGGTCTTGTGAGGAGATGCCCGAGTTCACGTCGGTGCTGTCTATCGACCCGGCGGGCATCACCGATCCGGACCTGGTGCACGTGGAGTACGGCCTGGCCAAGGACTTTGCGTCGTCGGGACTGCGGCTGGGCGCGCTCGTGTCGAGAAACGCGGCGCTGCACGAGGCGTTTTCGAGCGTGGTGAGGTTTCATAGTCCTGCCGGGCCGTCCGTCGCGATCGCGGCTGCCATGTTTGAGGATCGGGTGTGGCATGATGAGTTTATTGCTAGTTCGAGGCGAGCCATCGCGGGCGCGTATGGATTTGTGACGGGGAGGTTGAGGGAGATGGGGGTTGGGTATGTGGAGGCGAATGCTGGGTTGTTTGTGTATATTGATCTCTCGCCGTGGTTGCCGCCGCCGTGGGAGGAGGGGGAATATGAGTCAGATCGGGACAGAGAGTTTGCGTTGGCGGAGAGGTTTGTCGAGAGGGGTGTGTTTTTACATCCGGGGGAAGAGCATTGTCTTGCGCCGGGGTGGTTTCGGTTGGTTTATACGCAGGAGGAGGATATCGTGGCCGAAGGGTTGAAAAGGTGAGTCTACGGGGAGACGTGCTTGAGAACTTGGCTAACATGACTACAGAATCGACGATACTTTGAAGAACCTGCCTTGGCAACTGTCACACTAGGCACCCAGACAACAGACAGAACATCACGCATTACGGAGACGATCAACACATAATCAGGGAGAAACGAATCTATGTCCAGATAAACGAGGGAGAAGAAAAAAATGTACAGACGCCCCCAGAGGAGGGATTAAGAAATTAAGTTTAATTCATGTACACGCTTGAGGGCCATGACTCTTTGATATCATCGACCGTATGCTTCCGTCACGTCTTTAGGTTTCCTCCTAGACACTTCCACCCCTACTCTCTTAAAAGTGGTAGCGGCGGTTGAAGGTGCGGGGACCGCGGGGGCCACGAGGGCCACCACGGGGACCACCACGACCGGGGCCGCGGGGACGGCTGCCACCTCCGGCGGAGGTCTGGTTGAAGGTCTCCCACTCGTAGGAGGCGAACATCCAGGGGCCGACGCCCTTGTAGTCGTTCATGGCGATGGGGACGGAGGTGTAGTACTCGAAGCTGGCGTTGCTCTTGAGGGAGCCGACCTCAACGGTGCCGTTCCAGTTGACGGTGCCGTTGGCGTTCTCGACGACAAAGGTGGTGAGCTCCTGGTAGCCCTTGGCGGCGGCGGGGAAGAAGCGGCGCTCGGG